CCTAAAGTGAACCCTTCTTTCTCTTAATTAGAAGAGATGCCCGCCAGGCATTGACAAAATGCTTCGGAACGCGTGGCTTGCTCCCCGACGCATGGAAACATCAGGTCAGAAAGTGAAGCCCATGAAAACGCGGCCGTGGCCGCTGGCATGCCAGTGGCTGGCCGGCGTGGCCGCACCTCTGAAGGGCGCGGTCGTTTATCAAGCCCGCAGCTGCGAGGTGCTTCTGAGGCGTCACAGCACCCGAGCGGGCCGTTCAGAGGCGTGCGCATCAGTGGCACCTGTCTGCAGCCAGAGCGTGGCGGGGAACGTGAGGCTGCCGCTGCTCTGCGCCCCCTTGGGGCTGTGTGTAAAGACAGGAAAGACCCACCCTTCTCCCCACCCTTCTTTCCTCTCTGCTGAATGTCAACGATGCAGCGCCTTAACACGAGCTTTTCAAGGGTTCCTCAGGCTTACAGCTCATACTGCACCAGCCAGGAAGACAGACAACAGTAACAGAGCCCTCGGGTCCTGCTTGGGAGAGTTCCTAGCCTGTCGGCTGCACCCTCAGCCCACTGTGGAGGAGGTGGGCGGGACCCAGCCGCCCCTCTGAGCAGCAGCGGGCCACCCCCACTCCACTGCCCCTCCTCTGCGCTTCCTTCCTTTCCTCCCTCTCTTCCTTCTTACGTTTATTTAGCTATTTTTATTTATTCATAAGAACACACCCGAGTCAGGCTTGTTTTCGGTGTAAGATGCTGACACTGACCTTGAAAGGCCCTTGAACTCTGCCACACCTAGATAAGAGTGATTTTTAAATCATTCACGTTTCCTGTTTACAGCATGTCTTATAAGTTGATTTGTAGCAGGCTGATGAGTCTGCTTTGTGCAACCATTAAATAAGCACCTACAGGTGTAGATAGGAGAGGTCCCAGGGTCTGACCACAGCCTCTACTTCCAAGGTGACTGAGCAACCTCCCCCACCCACCCCCCAGCTTGTTTTTGAACTTTTAGCATTGCTGGGGGTTGGGGGTGTGCAGAGAAGGGGGAGAGAGAGAGAGAGAGAGAGAGAGAGAGGGAGAGGGTGGCTATGCAGTTTGATTTTCACCCCCAAGGCTGGAAAGTGGTTTTATCTCTTCCTCCTCCTCCTTCTCCGGGCAAGTGGGAAGATTTACTTTCCTTCCGCCAACCCAGCTGATACAGATGTGCTAAGTGACCCTGTGCAGCTGAGAAACAAAGTCGATTCCATATCACAAAGAGCTCTGCAAAGAAGGGAGACTTTCCAAAGTAAGTTTAACTTTCGGGGAAAATCACTCCCAAAGCAACACTCACTTAGAATACTAAGTATCAGGAAGTGATTGGAAAGGTAGCCCCCCGCCCCACCATATATATGGAATCTCAGAGCCAGGCACCCCGGCTCCCGGAGGCTGGGCAGGTGCTGCCTGGGTCTGGCTGCTCAGAAGGCTGGGGTCCCCGTGGTGCCCCACAGCAGCGAGCAAAGCGGGGCTGGGCCTCTGCCCTCCATTCATGTTTCCTTCGTGCACGCTTTGAGTTAAGTTTTCTTTTCTCCTGCCTTTGAAAACACATGACCAGGTCCCCAAAGGAGACGATTTATTAAGGTGCCCGCCACAGAGTCTGGCCCTGAAGTCGTCATCATCATCATCATCAAGATCTAATGACAACAGAAAACATTCAATACAGGACGGTGAAATGGGGGAGCCGCCCAGCGTGCCCCCCGCTGCCCGGGGGCCTCTGGGGTTCTTCTGGACCCTGGTCCGCCCCGTGGCTAACGGGTCCTTGGTCCCAGCGTGGGGGCCCAGGGAACCGGCCAGCCTGCCTGAGTGGCACGGGTGCGAGTCTGCCTGTCACTTCCCATCTCGGAGACGGAGAGGTTCAGTTTCTCTGTCTACTAACCATGCCTCGGACCCGTGGTGAGGGCGGACCAACGTAGAGAGAAGTCAGACTCGTGCCAAAATATATCATAACTGGACAGATTAAAGAGTCAAATCTCATGCTTTGATGGTTAGGGCAACACACTCAAGAACCGCAACACTGGCCTCTTATCCTCTCTGGTCCTGATGCTTTTCTGCCCCAGCAGGTCTCTCTCCAGCCCCCTTTCCCAGAAAGGCGGGGGTGCGTGACCTTAAACATGGCTCGCTGTGTTTGGTAAACCATGCTGGCCCCGCTGCCTGAAGCCATCTGGGGGGGGAGGTGTGACTGAACTGACATCAGTGCCTTATCTTCCTAGCATCTGCCCCATTTCATCTTCTAAAAGGACACATGTCCTTTTTTGTCCCCATGACTGCAAAAGAATTCTAAGACGCGGCCGTAGAGGGTCATGATAATGTCTTGACTTGCGTGAGCGTGTACCCATGACAAACTGGCCTTCTGTTCAATTTTAAGACCCAGTTCAGTGGGAAGCTGAAATTCACCTCGGCCCTTTTATGGCTACGACCTTGACGCATCGCCAGCGGCTTGGTGGCATGCCTACCTGCCCCCCTTGTCCCCTGGACCCTGCTGCAGGCATAGTCTATTTGGCAGGATTCTCAGGCACATCTGATTCTAGGTGAGTCAAGGTCTTATTCTGCATCCTTGATTTCCCACTGACAGGGTCAAAGGGACAAGCATGACCCTCCACTGAAGTCCCAGCAAGACAGGGTTCCCCAGTCTCTCTCCCGACCCGTGACCTCTCCGAGTCCCCGGCTGCCGACGTGCCCATGTGCCAAAAACACGCATAGACCAGCGGCCACTGTCACCGCTGTGGGGCTGCCCTCACGGCCAAGAATGTTTTTAACAGGGGTGGCTGCCACTTCAGGGAGAGCCACAAACGCACGCCGAGTTTTTATGTAACGCATCTTCTTAAACCTATTACAGAAGCTTGAGCGCTAAGCCGGGAAAAGAACTACTTTCCTACCTGCCGAGAACAAAAGCAAGGTTCCTGCCAAGAGAGACATCACTATTATCCCTGTTAACTTTCTAATTTCAGGGGGGGAAGTTCCAAGGGGCCTGCTCACACCATGACCAGGGTAAACAAGCATTTTCATATTAAAAAAAAAACAAAACAACAAAGAAAAAGAAAAGTAGTTTTAAAGGAAAATACTTTGGGTACTTATGTTTTAAAACTCATACCGTTTTGCAAGGGGAGCGCTGGCTAGCGGGTCCTATTTGGGAAAGAGCGCAGCAGCAAGAGTCGCACCGCGCTCTGCCGAGCAGCCGCCGAGGCCCTGGGGGACGCTAACGTGCTGTTAGTGCTTAACGCCGCTGCGAAGCAAGGAGTTTTTAAAAGGAACAAGGAAGGGTGATGCTTCGTGTTACATCCGACTCTCTGCTGAGCAGATAGCGTCCCGCAGAGTCAGGAATGCCTGGCCACGCAGCGCCTCTGCCCAGCAGCAGCTTCCGGCTGGGGACAGAAAGCCCCTCCCCGCCCCCCCACCCCCCCCTCGCCCCCTTGTCTTCCTGGTCCACAGAGCACACCTGATGAGAAGGGAAATCAGACACGGTTCGCTCCTCACCAAAACCATGTGGACCGGAGCGGACTTCCCGGAGACAATTTCACCTTGCCCCCATGTGGCTGAATTTTCGATCGCCTCTATAAAGGTGCAACACTTTTGGCCGCGATGTCAGCGGAGAGAGACAAACCCGTTTATCGGTGGTGCACACGGTCCGCTATGCCACGGGAGAAGAAAACACGCACACACAGAATCCTGAAGGTGATGTGAATTAATGAAAACGGCCCTACACGCCCCTCAAGGGACCTCCTCAGGAATTTTATCCTATTCAATGTTTAGAAGAAAGTATCGTTTCACACGAGCCCTAATTAACCCTACACACTTGCATTGTGGCATTGTAGAAAAATCAACATGCGCATTTTGAGTCTGTGTTCATGATTATGAAGCATCAGGAAACCCACCCTCTCCGGGGACCTTCCTAAATACACCTGAGGCTGTAGAGGAGAGGTAGCCCCCCAAAGCCAAGCTTTTGGTTTCTCCTTGTATATAAAGGGCTGCTCCCCAGACAGGCCACTGCCCAGCTGCGGGCACAGGACCTCCGGGGAAACCTGCTGGGGGACTTACACTCACATAAAAGAACCTTCCCCAGAACCATCGCTGGGAGGGCTGATGGCCCGGGCTGCCACACTCTGGGCGAGCGAGTGTGCGTGCCTTCCGAGAGCCACCCCCAAAGGCAGCTCTCACTCCCAAAAGCCCCCAAAACTCAGTGCATCCCACTGTACAACCGTCCTAGAGAAAACGCCCAGGGAAGCTAGTCCTGCAGCCCCAGGAGGGCAAGCAGCCTGCCCCTCGCTGGCCGCCGGCCCTCTCCTCGCTGCTTAGCTTTTGCTTGGAGTCTAACAACCTGCTCGGTGGGGGCAGGGCCCTGACTATGACCATACCGTATGAGCTGTGGCCTGCGTGGCCCAGAGAAGATGGTTGCGTGTCGGAGACGTGACACAGCATCACAGTGCAAACACTCCTTGACGTCGGTGGCTCTTAGCCTCCTCGCGCTCTGCGCACGATCTAATTTGGCCCGGTGGGTTTTAGGCAATTATTGTCTTTTACAGAGTTTTTGCAGTAGCCAGCTAGCCCCAGGGAACCTGCATTCTTGGTTGATTGCAAATTTATTTATTGCAAGTCACGCCTTCGTCCAGACGGACCTCCTGCTTCTTTATATTTTTAAAAGAATGTGTATTCGATACAAACCCCCACGTAAGCTGAAGGCACCAAGAACTTGGAACAGCCGGACCTGCACCCGGCTGGGGGGATGCGTCTGTCTGTCTGTCTTCCAGCCGAGTAGGTAAGGAAATAGCATAGCTGGTCAAGCTATTATCTACACCTCTCTCTCGCCACAGTCTCTCCGCAGCCTGTGCAGAGGTGCCTCTCGATCGGGGGTTGTTACAGCGCAGCTGGACCGGGCAGGCCTGGGCCGCCAGAGGCTGTGCGTGGGGCCGGTTCCCAGGCTGCTGGCGTGCGGGCCGCCCTCGGGGCGGGTCTGGGTGGGCGAGGGGGTGGCGGGCTCGCCCAGGTACTTACCCTGCATCTGACTCTGAGGCTGAGGGTTAAAGGCAGTGGAGTGGTTCAAGGAGGCCCGAGGGTTGGGTGTGGGGGCTGGGTGGTGTGGGCTGACCCTCATGGCCGAACGCCGCAGCTGCTCCAGTTCACTGAGCCGCTCGGAAAAGGACAAGCTCCCGGGCTTGGTCTGATCGTCTAGTTTCTGACGGTGTCCTAGTGTGGGGAGGGGGGGGAGGGGGGAGGCAGGGAAGGAGGGAGGGAAGAGATCAGAAAATATATTGTGGAATTCCTAAAATTTGGGGTGTTCTTGTCCTTCCCCTCCCTCTCCCCTCACCCCTTCGGGGACTCGCTGGAGACTGGCACACGGGGCGGGCCCCCAGTGGGAATTCAGGGACATTGTCCCCATGGCAGATTGGGGCCCCTTTGGTCACATAGGCCCCGGGGTGCTCCCCCAGCCTGGGCTCCGCACCCACCCCAGCCCTTTGCCCCCATCGGCACAGGGCAGAAGGCAGGGCATTCAGGGCTTGGTGGCAGAGGTGGTGGCCGAAGGGAGAAGGTGCCTGCCTGGCCCTGGGCCGCATGCTGTGGGCTGGGCTGTGGTGGCTGGGAAAGGTGCCTTCCCAGGGGCCTGAGGTCAGCAGCTGCTCACAGCAAATCACCCCCTGGGCCAGGCTGCAGTGCAAGGGGGCCCTGCGGCTCCTCCGGTGGGCACGCCCCTCCAACAGGAAGCAGGGTGGGGCTCCATACCCGCAGCCCTGGGAGGCCAGGTTTCCTGTCCGATGCCGCAGCCCCTCTGCCCCTCCGCCCCTCCGGCTCGCCCTCTCCTCGTCAGCTCTGCAAGGGAACTCGTCCTTTCCTGAGACCCTGTGCCCGGGAGGCGCATCCCCTCGCAGGGAGCTGGCGGGAAGGTGCAGGCCCGGGTTTGCAGCAGACCAGCCCTCCGGAGCCCCTGGGGGCCTGGACGAGCTTCCCGGCGTGTGGTGGGGGGCGAGGGGCTCAGGAGTCCAAAGCGGGAAGGGGGCCCTGCGTGTCTGCTCCGTGTACAGATCATGGTCACCAGGATGCAGGGAGCGGAGGCCATTCCCACAGGACAGGCCCAGAGGGCCGGACCTCCCGTTTCCTCCCCAGGTCCCCCATCAAAATACATTTAAACTGGCGACTCGGGGCTCTGAGGCACCGACACAACCCAGGGGGCCATCTTGGGGGTCCTTCTCCTGCCTTGGGGCTCAAATAGAGTCGCTGGCGGATTTTACAAGCTGCCCCCGCAGCCCGCCCCGGCTGTCGAGTGGCCTCAGAACAAGGCCGAAGCAGCAGCTTGCGCGTGGCCACGATCGGGTTCCCGATCACATGCCCGACCCTCGGTTCGGAGGACGTCCCGGGACGCCATGCCCCGCAGGCCAGCGGGAGGGGAGGTGGGAGGGGGCATTGCAGCGGGGCTCCCGATCGCTACCGTCACAGAATCCCCCTCTAGAGCTGGCGTTGCAGCTCCGAATGTGCGTGGCCTGCCGCCGCCCCCGGTGCCAGGCCCCTTGGCACAGCCAACGCCGTGTCAGATTCCCAAGCAGAAAAAGGACCCACTATAGTGCAGTGACTTTATCATGAACAAGACCTGCTTGGCTCCGAAATAAGGAAAAATACTTAAGCATAATATTTGTGCAGCTCAAATGTAACGCGCCCTCTTTTCATGTGTCACCACGGCAAATCTGGACTCTGATTCAGCCCCGCAGCCCACAGCGCCCGGCCCGAGTACAAACAGCCTGAGTCACGCAGGCCCGGTGCATGTGAGCGGCCCCCACAGCTGAGTATTTTAAGCCCTGGCCTTGCGGGCAAAAGGCCGCGGGGCCAGGTCCCGAAACAACCCCTGTCATCTCGTTCCCTCAGAAGTACAAAAATGTCTTTCTCTAGAACGTTCTATTCCAGTCAATCATAGAGTAATTCGGTGTCTCTGGAGGGAACTTTCCTTGATCCCTCCCTCCTTTTATCTTTGTGACACATTCTCGGCTTCCTGATGGTCAGGCTAAAAAGAAAAATCTCAAGTTTCTTTGCAGAAAAACCAACAATTCCAACTCAAAAGCCACTGAGCGCAGAATAATCTCACCCTTTTAAATGCCTACCATGACCTAACAATGCCCGGTAGGAGGAGTCCAGGGGAGAAGGCAGGTAAAAGGGTTCTGGGGAATTCTGCCTCAGACAGGTTTCTGGCAGGGTTTGTGCCCAATTCTAAACTTCATTCCTTGGGCATACAATGGCATTTTTGAAGAGCACTGTGTCAAGGTCAACACTGGGTCAAGGTCAGCACAGGACCCAGGGGAACTGTGTGCGAGATCATTCTGAATATGTGGCGTGCGGCATTTTGAAGACAGGCCATCCATTGCGTCTGCCTCAGCCATCAAGCTTGGGGACCGCGTGCCACTGGGCAGCCGGACAAAATACCTCATTTTCAGGCAAGCGGCAACTGTGGCCAGGCCCAATGTGAGGTTATTATTTTTGTTATTAGTCCCCTTTCACTGCCCTCTACTTAAAAAAAAAAAAGTTTTAACATGTGAGCAGTTTCTGCACCAGCTGACATGCGCCCAGATCGCAGTCATTTACAGAGATTAACTGATGACTGCCTGCTGTAGCAGGAATGTTTGGGCACAACTCACAGAGAGAACCCTGCTTTACCCTAAGCTGGTTCCCAGGGCCCGAGAGTCGTGGGGTGGACTCGAACGCCGGAGAAGTGCGGGGTGAGTTCTCGCTCCACCGGCCTGCGTGGGCCCTGAGGGTGAGCGCCTTCGCAGGGAGCTCGCAGCCCCTTCCTCACAAAGATGCCAGAGGCCTGTAACTCTGTGGCTCGGGGAGACAGGAGAGGCATTATCGCAGCAAAGGTGTGGTTATTTACAGGCAAGATCAAAGAACACCTAATTCTTCTTTTCTGAAACCATCAGACTTCATGTGCCACGGAGCAATCTTTAGAGTGCAGTAGAGAAGCTTCGCAAATAAACTTGCAAGGTAGGGAAATTGACTATTTTATGTCCCCAGTTTCCTGTATCTGGATACAATTAAAACGTCTCTCTGCCCCTTTGAATTTTAAATACAGGAGAATGGAAAATGTACGTGATCAAATTCATTTTCCTTCTCTTACTGGGCACGGGACTGCGGAGGGCAACAAGGAGCTCAGCCCTGGGTGGGACACCTGGCAGAGTCGCGTGGCCCCCCCCAGCACACGCATGTGGACGGCCCTGCCTCCCGAGCTTGCGGGGAGCCCACTGTGGCCGCTTCACGTGGCGGCCCATAGAGCAGTGGCTTCCTCAAGACTTTGTGCTGAATCTTAGTGAATCTGAGGTAGAGTTGAAAAGGACACTAAACTTTGTTTGTGATCCCATTTTCAGATTTTTGAAAAAAGTACTTGATTAGAATTTTATTATATATGCAGCCATAAAGAGCCAACAGGAAAAAAAGAATTAATAAATTCATCCCATCCACTAAGTGTTGCTCTTTCATTCCAAAGACATGTGTCCTGTGGCTTCAGGGACGGCTGTCCACGTGGCCCCACTCAGCGCTGACGCTTGTGATGGACAACAAGGCAGCGTTTCATTTTCTGCCATGAAGATAGGGCAGAGAAGGCAGGCGCCGCCTCACCGGAAACCAAACTGCCTTTTCCCAGGAACCATTCTTGGTCTTTGGAATGAGGCACACGATCTTCTAGCAAAGAAAATGGGTGAGGCTGAATTGTCACCTTTTCCTGGAAAACGGAGGCTGGTGAGAGTAATTTGCTGGCAGTCTCCACGTTAGTCCATGTTCCGGACATGGGTTTCCTAGTTTTCTTGGTAAATTCTCAGCAGAAAAATTAGGAAGGTGTATATACAAAGCACTGTCATGATGAGAAGTTCAGAAAACTTGTGCAAAATGATAATTGCTCCGAAATCTATCTGTATATGGGTATGTGTATATACACACACACATCCATCCATCCGTCTATCACATTCTTCAAAAGAATGTATGGATTTCAAAAGATGTTTGCCAGTCAATCTGATATCAGCAACATGGATCTGTTATAAAAACCTGACCCTTTCTTTCCTTAATGTGCTACTGCTTTATGACCATGGAAAAGGAATGCGTGCGCAGAAGGGAACAGCTGATTTTCCCTCTTAGAACAGTCTGTTCTCCAGGTTCTGGGGTCATTACAGGCACGAGGCCTTGAAGGCACGGTGCTGAATGTGACTCGTCTTTAAAGCACCTTGCAAGTGGTAAAATAAACTTCCCTGGCTGCAGACCTAACCCTCTACTGGCTAATTTCATGTTGGACAACATCTCCCATGTAATATGAAATATATATTATGTATGTCAATATATATTAGAATACACATTCTACATATGTGTTGGCACACCATCCAATGGTACATAAATGTAAGTTGCTGACCTTCGTCTCCCCCACCGCTCCCCGTAGAAGGCTGGAGCGCTTCAGAGCTGGGGAAGGGATCGGCTGCAGGTTTTCACTGAGGGGGGGAAGGGGGGGCATGAGGTTCAGGGACTTACTCAGTTTACCTCACAGCCAGGGAGGGAAGGAGGGCGGGTCGGAAACGCCCCTGCTCCCTCAGCCGCACCCCCCTCCTGCTCGAGGCACCTGGAAACACACAACGCTGCGAACGCACACACGCCAGGCGCACAGAGGGGGCGGGGCGCCGGGTGGCCCAGCAGATCAGGGGCACCCTCGGACGCTTAGTGAGGCGCCTTCACAGTCCCACGTCTGTTCCCATCCGTGCTCAGGATACGAGAGCCAGGGTCCCCTGGGACGACGGCCGCAGGGAGTGGGTGTCAGCACTGCCCGGCATGCTGGCCTGGGGGCTGTGGGGAAGGGAACGAAGCCATCGACGTACCAGGACTGCGTTCAGACTGTGTGTCCGCGGGCACGGAGTGATGGCCTCATTTCGGGGATAACTACTGTTCTTTTCCTTAATTTGTTGACCCTTTGGTGTATGCAGAGCCAGTGAAAATGCCCAGAGCATGCCCTGCAGGCAGGCGGGGAAGATAGCCGCTCTGCCCGCCCTCCTCCAGGGCTCCTCCCTCTGCTTCTCTGACTGGTTAGGGAATGATACTTTTTGGTCCTGGGGACACCCCTGCCCATCAGTGGCCAGAAGACTAGAAGCACGAGGTCAGTGCCTATGCCCTACCTGCGCACCCGTCCACCCCCGCCCCGCCCCCCACCGTCCCATGCAGGGCTGCTGCCCCCT